CAGCTCCTCCTCACTTTTACAAAAATTCTAAATCTGGAAAAATGCTAAATATTGTCGAGGAAACTAACTATGCAAATATTCTGTTGATTGTATGTAATACAAGTTAATTATTATGAGTCATTAGTAAGTCTAAAATTGATACAGATCACAAATTTCCCTCTCCTATCACTGCTGCTTATAGCACAGAGGCTGATCTAGTTCATGGTGGTGTATGTATACTACTTGGAAACAAAAGAATGTGTGATAAATATAAAAGTTGGCATCTTTCTGCTACTTGAAGCCGAATAAATTGAAATGGTTGTTTTGTGGGGATGTATTCCAGGGGACTGTTTTAGTCTAATTATAATGAAAAGCTATGACTGCTCCTTTATTTGATGCAATACAAGCATAAAATATACTCAGGGAGGCTGAATTGAACTGCTTGGTAAAATGATGGCTATGTGTCAAATGGGTCTGAAATTTCAGACTTCTTCCATGCTCTCTCTCAGCTTGATTGTGAAAGATTGTTGGGTTCTGTTGGCCTGGGCTGAAGGATCACTGGGTTCAGGGTAAAACTAAGCCAAGTGTTTTGTCTTAGGGAACATGGTAGAGGGTTCCTTTGTAATTCTTACTGAACCAGTAGAACTCAAAAGTTTTAAACCCAACTCTCTTTTCCTGTATATATCTCTTAAAAAAAAATCTCCTAAGAAATTAAATGGAAAAATAAAAACAAACAAATAAAAAGCCCCCAAAACAAAATGCAAACCCCTAGCAATAAACCCTAAGATATCATAGCATAGATAAGCACCTACACTGAGACCAAAGAGAGATGTACATTTGACACACTGAATGCAGCATCAAGCCCTCAAAAGGCAAGTCATTTAAAAAAGTTAACCTTGTTACACCACAAATGCCCAAATGTTGTTGCCATGACATAGGTAGCATGAATTTGGGCTTCTATTTTGCAGTAGGCATCTGTTTCCTATAAGGCAGGAGAGCATGGCCAGCCCAGAGCTGCCCGTGCTCTCCATCTACCCAGAACAGATACTCGTGGGACTACACATTCCCAGGGCATGCGGGATTAGAACCCTGAGGCCCCAGGAGCACCTGCCTGGGCTCCCCTGTTTGCAGAGGTGCACCCCAGGAATCCTCTGGTGGAGGGTTCCCAAGGTGTCTATCACCTTGTTGCTCCTTGACTTGGGGTGCACTTCTGTGAATGGGGAAACCTCAGGTGATACTTTGCTAGCAGGGAAACCTGAGGTTCCCCTGTTTGCAGAGGCAAGTCCTGAGTGTTATCCCACCTGATCAGGTCCCGGCTGCTTTTTGGGAGTGGCAGGGGCCTGACCCTGTGGGACATGCATGATATCTGTTTTGTCCAATGAAATGGATTAGCTGTGCTAGGACGCATCACAGTACAGCTGATCCGCTTCATTTTACAATGCCTGTTTATATCCTTTGATAGGCTTGCCAAACAATTTCCTCCTCAACATCCTCCCACTGTAAATGATGCCATTTCACTATGAACATGCTACTGTCCTAGACTAATGTACCAATTTTTTATTTTTAGTGAGGCTATTCATCCCAAAAAGCTATTTTTATTTAAAGAAAAACTGTGTAATTGTTATATTATTCCTTATCCTCTGCAGTGCCAGCTGCAGTGCAATTCATTTGCCTTGTTCCTTTCAAACCCCCATATTGCTTTTTGTTTTGCTTGTAAAGATTAATTTGACTTTTCCTTGTAGAGGCACTAAAACATAAACATATAAAGAATTGTAATTTTACATTTTAAGTTTCCCTAGATTGGGACCAGCTATGATGAGAAAGCACCTGCTATTAGAGACTATTTTAAATGCAATATAGTGGCAAAGGGAAAGTTTAATAGGTAGATAGTGGGGCAGGGGACATCTTGGAGACTGTTTTGCCTTCTGCTGGACTTTGGACTAACATGGCTAACTGCCTGTACTCATAGGACAAATTAATGTGTTTTCTTCTTTTTTGTTTTAATGAGTTGCATTCATGCCAAGCAGCAAACAGTATTCTTGAGGCTTACAGAATAGGACTGGGAGTCAGGATAATTTGCTTTTTGATCTGTCACTGGTTTTAGATCAATTGTTTCTTCTGTCTGTAATGGGAAATTAATAATACTTACCCATCTCTCAGGCTTGCTGTAAGGCTTAATTAATGTGTGTAAAACACCCCTGGAGATATTTCAGTGGAAGATGTTATAAAGTATAAGTGCTAGAAAAATATAAATGACAAGGGGATGGATTGTATCCTCAGCAATTTGAACTGAAGACACCAAGCTGGGGGATGTAGTAGATGTGCTGGAGGGTAGGGCTAGGATTCAGAGTGACTTAGACAAATTGGAGGATTGGGCCAAAAGAAATCTCGTGAGGTTCAACAAAGACAAGTGCAAAGTCCTGCACTTAGGACTGAGCAATCCCATGCACTGGTATGGGCTTGGGACCAACTGGCTAAGCAGCAGCTCTGCAGAAAAGGACCTGGGGGTACAGTGGACAATAAGATGGATATGAGTCAGCAGCGTCCCCTTGCCAAGAAGGCTAACAGCATGCTGGGCTGCATTAGTAGGAGCGTTGCCAGCCTATTGAGGGAAGTAATTATCCCCCTCTTTTCTGGACTGGTGAAGACACATCTGGAGTACCGTGTCCATTTTTGGACCTCCCGCTACAGAAAGGATGTGGACAAGTTGGAGAGCATCCAGCAGAAGGCAACAAATATGGTTTGGAGGCTGGGGCACATGATTTCTGAAAAGAGGCTGAGGGAACTGGGCTTATTAGTTTGCAGAAGAGAAGACTGAGAAGGGATTTAATAGCAGGGTGGTTCCAAAGAGGATGGAGCTAGACTGTTCTCAGTGGTGACAGATGACAGAACAAGGAGCAATGATCTCAAGTTGCAGCAAGGGAGGTTTAGGTTGGATATTAGGAAAAACTTTTTCACTAGGAGGGTGGTGAAGCTGGAACAGGTTACCCAGAGAGGTGGTGGAATTTCTATCCTTGGAGATTTTTAAGACCTAGCTCAACAAAGCCCTGGCTGGCCTGGTCCTGCTTTGAGCAGGGGGTTGAACTAGGAGACATCCTAAGGTCTCTTCCACCCTAATTTTCTGTGATTCTGTGACTTTCCCTCTTCCCCCCTCCACAAATAAGTTGTGACAGCATCCTGTATTAAAGAATTGTGGCTCTTGTAAAACAGAAAAGAAAATTCATTAGGTTAACACAAAAATGAATTTTATAAACAAAACCTCAGGGACTGGGAGCACATACAAAAAATTTCTATAGGAAAAGGTTCAAGGGTCATATAGTCTTACATACTACATTTAATTAACAAGAAAACTTGCCCAAATAAATGTTTCCACTTGTTACTGTATGAGAATCTATAATTTGTTTTTAACTGTATTAATAAATGGACAGCGTCTATGGAGAATTATTGCCATACCAATATTGCATGCATTAGCAAATGTACTGTGCAAATTATTCTTCAGAAACTGAAGGACTTTGAATTTGATTGTGAAGAACTTGCATACCAGCAAATGGAAATAAATTGATACTGTCTTCTATTTTTTATAGCATCTTTCTTCCTAGATATTTCTTAAGTGCTTTGCAGACTGTACGTTTAAGGATCACTTTAGCAGCTTCCTTTTGTGGAATGGGCCATGGTGCAGTTCTGCCAAACCAGAGAATCAAGCCCATGGTACCTATCCTTTTTCCAGCTGTCTGTAATCTCAGTGGGTACATCTATACACAACATTTAACGCAATGAGATAAATTCTGGAGCAGTTTGTGCCAGAGTTTACTGCTCTTGGGTGCAGTGTCTACATGTATGCCTGGGACAGCAGCAATTTGAGCTGGGTGGACCAGGCCCGTGGCTGGCTGGCTGGCCTGACTGGGCACAATGTACACCCCCGGTCACCATCTACATATGTGTTTTATTTCAGTAAAGCAGTGGTCTCCAAACTTTTTTGATTGCGCACCCCTATCAGTAAAAATGTTTTGAGCACGCACCCCCAATATATGTATATTTATTTATTTATAAATTATATACACGCACTACTGTACTAATATATTATGTACATTATAAAACATAGACAAACAGAAGAAATTTAAAAAGGATGAGATAAAGATGAAATAAACAATATTTCAATTTTTTAAAAATTTATTAACGGTACAAAAAACCTTTTTGCTCTCACTAAAAAAAATATTATTTAGTTTTTACCTTGTGATGTGGCTGATGAAGAGCTTGTACTAGGAGTAGGAGAAGTGTCAGCTCTGCCATTTTCTTGCTGTTCACTTGTGCTTGCATTGTTAGTATTATTTTCAATCTGCGGTTTCTTTGCAGGAATCTTTTTAAGCCACTTGTCCATTTTGTGAGGGTTAGTTTAGTTAAAACTAGATAATATAATTCGTAAATCCACTTAACCGGGCACGCGTAAACTGCAATATGCTGAAAGCGAACGAATGCTTCTTCCCTCTGACATACAGGTGTCAGTGTCAATCTGTATATTAAATATTAGTCAAGCTTAACTTTTTTCTTATTTTTTTAGATAAAAAATAAATAAAAATACAAGTTCTAATATTTTCTTCACGCACTCCAATGGATTGTCTTGCGCACCCCCTGGGGTGCGTGTACCCCACTTTGGGGACCACTGCAGTAAAGTATTCTGCAATAAGATTGTACCATCCAAAACAGTATTATCCTATGGCAGAGTTAATTAGTTTACTGTGCCCTAACACCAGCGCATGTGTAGACTAAGATGCTCAACTGCAGAGCTAATTGCTCTACTCTGCAGCAAAGCTCACATGTAGTTGTGCCCAGTGAGAACTCATGTAAAATGAACCATACAGGGCACAAACAGATTTGAAGGGCATCTGGCAGGAGCCTTGGGAAAGTATTCTGAAGCAGAAGTTGGAAGAACTTGCTCTGCTCTAAATGAAGCTTACTGTCAAAAGTTCAGGCTTCCTTATCTTTGACCAATGATTTGATTTCCTTCTTCATTCCCCCAACAGGGATGTATCTAACAATGTGTGCATGTGGTAATGTAACTTGAAGTTGGGGAGAAGAACGCCAGCCCTGGACACCAATTTAGTGGGGGTTCCAGAAGGGTGCCCGCAAGGAGTCTGTGTCCCAGCAGCAGCTCTACCTCAGCAACAACTGGGGTGGGAAGACCACTCTGTGGCAGCAGCATCTGGGCACTTTTTTTGAGCCCTCAGGAGCAGATAAAGCTTTCTTCTTTCTGGCACTTGCAAGCACCCCTGCACTCCCACCTTGACATCCGATCCTGAATATCCTGCTTGTTATGCCCCTCTGTGTGTAAGTGTGCCTACATGCACGTGTGCTTGGCCAATCTGCTCTCTTTCTTCCCTATCATACATGGGGTCATTCTTCAACATGTTTGATTTCCTTTACTTTCTTTTGAAGTCAGTGGATGCTCTGCACCTAGTGGGATTAGATCCATGTACCTCTTATGGTAAATCCATGTGGTAATATACCCACTTATCGGTTATAACTGAAGAGAAGGAACAGGTTAGGCATAGGAGCAGGCCTTATTGTAACCAATTTGTCTTTTGGCCTAGAGAAATAGCTGCATCAGATGAAAATCTATCCAATATGTTGTATTAACATTTACATCCAATACCAAAGTCTTTGGATGCATTGTTTTGTTGTGTGGGGGAAAGTTACCGAGATAGTCCATCTTGAAAACCCAAAACAGATAACACTGGTCAGTGAAACATTAGATTCCTGCAGAATACACACTACATTTACTCTGTCTTCCAGACCCCTCTGCTCAATAAAGAAGAAGTAAAGTCTACAATATACCTGGCTGCTCCTGTTCATTTTTCAGGGCCTTTGGCAGCATCACAGGCAGAACCATTAGTAAACTGCCATGCATTCTGCCATTTATAATGTCTTAGGAAAGGGGAAAAAAATTCAAGGAAATGTTCCATTTGCTTGTTAGTTTCTGCCATTGGCTCAAAGTGTCATAGTGATATTGGGACCACCCTTCTGCCTTCAGATCCTGCAGAAAAAAAATCTGGCAAAATAAGTTTCTTGCTTTGGTCTTTCATCTTGAACAAATGGGTTTTGTTAAAAACAGATTTAGTTTGTGTTCAGCAAGGGAGTGATGGATAAATCTTCTTGTAAATTATCTTCCAATTCCAGTAGCAGAGCTCACTCCTGTGATGCCTCAGTAAGGTTTTTTTTTTACTATACTGCATAGATACTACCCTTTTTTTTTTTTTGGTAAATGTTTTCATATGGTCTTGTTTTAGGCTGTATTTAAGGAGTGGTTATAGATTATTATATAATAAATCTGAGATCTGAAGGTTATGCTCATAGAATTTTATTTGCTTTGCTGATGCTGTATAGATTGTGTCTGCCTTTCTGGTTCTGACTCTGTAACACTAGGACTAGAGTTTGTGGAAAGGTCTATTAGGAGTCTGCAGTCGCATAACTGTGGGCAGACGGCCAGGGCCACGAGCCCTGGCTGCCAACTTGTGGGAGGGTTGGTACAGGAACAGAGCAGCCACTGCTGCCACCCAGGGTGCAGAACCTTTTTGCCACAGCTACAGTCTGATGTTAAGGGGATAAAGCCAAGAGTAACCACAATCCAGTTCCACTAGTAGGCCCTAAAAAGGGGGTGGTGTTCTAAGTTAGTCATCTCAAGACAAACATTGAGGAGCTGACGTGTGACGCATGTGAACAGGTTGGAAGATTTGGGGTTATTTAGTCAAGAGAAAAAAGACCAAGGGAAGATTTATCTATCTTTAAATACAAAAAGGCTGTTTCTAAGAAGGATGGTGATTCTCTGTGTCCGCAGCAAACAGCACAAGAAGTAATAGGCTTTAATTGCCACAAGGGGCATTTAGAGAGGGCATTGGGAAGAACTTTCTACCTATGTAGGTGGCTAAGTACTAGAACAAGTTACCTACAGAGGTGATGGAATCTGTCCCTGGAAGCTTTTAAGTGCAGGCTAGGCCAATATTGACCTGAGATGGCATAAATGGTGAATACCTTCCTGGAGCAGGGGATTGGACTAGATGACCTTCTGAGGTTCCTTCTGGTCCTCTTTGCTCTATGATTCTCCATATGAGATGGAAACAATCATGTTTGATTGTCTGATCCCTGGCAGAGTGTGCAGGGCTGGCAGTCAGGAGGGAATTGGGGCTGGCAGTTAAGAGGGAAAAAAAGCCATCTTGCACATTCAAATTGACAACATTCTTTTTAGACTAGAACTGCATCTTATATGGCCAAAATTATGGCTCGGTAGCAGGGTTCATAGGAAGTCGTCAAAATGGGGAGAGAGCATTTGCCACTCCAGAGAGACCTTCAAGGAAACTGGTATCTGAGTTCCAGCACTTTTTATCTCAGCACTCCTGCAGCTGTCTGAGCTAAGCTTATTTCCCTCCCTTTGCATAGAGATGCCCCATTTTGAGCTAGTAAGTGCTTGTGCTACTAGTTGGCATTTCTGTGGATAGGCTTCCTGGTTTAAAGTGGGCATGGGGGAAGAGCTCCTTGTGCCCTCTTCTACACTTCAGGTACATCCACACAGAGTGAGCTGTGATTTGGGTTTTATTAAGTTATGATGCCTAGTTGCACAAAAGATGCCACTTACAAATTTAATGTTTTCCATCTTCCCCTCGCCCTGGACTTAGTCTCTTCTGTTTAATAAAGTTGTTTGTCAGGCCCCTTAAACTTCCCATAAACAGTGAGTAAACATGTTGGTCTCCTTCAAAGCTGATTCCTTCTAGGGGAACCTAGCTTCTGGGAGCAACAAAAACCCCTTTATATGGAAGAAATGGCTTGATCTTGGCACTTATTAATTAGGAAATATCTGGCCCTAAATGAAAAAAGGAATAAACTACTTCATTTACAGATTAAATATATAATTTTGGTGTTCTATGTACTTATTTCTTTAAATATACTTTACCAGAATGTTCTCAGGCTTTTCTGCACAGTATGACATTTTAGACTTTATAATATTATTATTATTATTAACTTGCTTGGCACACTTTCTCTGTAATGGTTTTGAGTCCATCACTAACAAAGTGTATACAGTGTTGGGTTTAGAAAAGATGCATGGAAGAAACCTTTATATAAATATAAATCATCAAGAATGAAACTGCATAGGGTTTACATCACAGTAGTATGTTTTAAAATCAGTCCAATAACTCATGTTTCTGATCCTAATCAGACTGAATGGCTCTCTGGATGCCCAATTAAACCATTTATTGCAGAGATTACCTCATCCTATTTTAGTGCCTAGATTATCAGATTGAGACAAGGCTCAACAGCTATCTTTGCTCAATATAAGTGGAACGCTCAGTCCTTGTCCAGTGTTTTTTTTCTTTTCTCCATGTCCCTTCCTATCCCCCCCCAATATTTGCTTACACTTTATTGGAGGATGTTGAAGGCACAAGACTGCTCAGCAATCTAATAAAGCAGAGCCTGTTTCATCACTGCCTTGCATTTTATTTACATTGTGAGTTATGCCAGTAAAAGTGAGCATCTAACACAGGTGTGGGCAAAATATGGCCCCTGGGCTGGATCCAGCCTGCCAGCCCATTCTATCTGGCCCACAGGGCCTTAAAAAAATTTAGAAAATTAATTTATATCTGCCCAGGGCCTCCTGTCAAAGATGACATGTGGCCAGTAGCAGCAGGACCCAGCAGGAGCCTGTGGCTGAGCAACGAGGCTAGCCTGGCTCCACCCAGCCCCCCACACCCTTCCTGCCCTTAGCCCCCAACCAGAAGCCTCTGTGGCTTCTGGTACCGTGCCCCTGCAGCTGTTCGACAGTTTCCCGAAACTTGGTAAGTGGCCCTCCGCCCAAAATAACTGCCTGCCCCTGATCTAACATGACCAATTTGGTTTAGTAGCATTTTGCATTTTCTTTTTACTGGTGTAAGTGATTACAGAAAGTGAAGGATATAGGGAGTTGAGCCCCAAGAAGCTGGCCTGCAAGCCTTTCACAAGCCAGACACACTTGCATTTAGATACATGTGTTACTCTGGCTAGTTAGCTGTCAGACCTTCCTCTAGAACAGGAAAGGTAACATTTTTAAAGGTACCTAAGACAAAGAGGTGCCCAAATGTTGTGAATAATAACACCTTTGAAAATCTCAGCCTTGTTCACATGTATGGCTGCGCTGAGAATTGCATTATGGAGTGAACATGCCCAGTGTACGGGTTTCCAATGTTTTGCCTGGTGTCCTGTTCTTTACCTTCTACCTTATTTCCTGGGGTTTCCAGAAAAATGTAAAATTTCCTTGTAAATCTATCTGATAGGGAAAAAGAAGCATTTTAAAATTATTTTTCTTTTCACCAGAAAAGCTCCCTTCTCTGCCCCCCCCCCCCCCACTGTTTTACCATAATCTGAACGCCTCTGGGGATCATTTTAACCCAGAATCTCTTTCATGCTGAGCTTTGTCTCTCTTCTTCATCTTCTCTTCCTCTCCCTCTTTCTTGTAATCCTGTTTATTTTACCATACAAAATGGAGTGTAGTGTAATTCTGAGATGATGGATGAAAGACAAAAAATATTTTTTTTATAATGACAGTATTAAACTTGGGCCTGTCTAGGCATAAACTTATCGATAATCTTTGACTATACATTAGCTGATAAACGACAGCTAAAATGGCAAATCGGTGCTTATGGTACCTTGCATCATGTCCCTGAATATTCAGTTGGGTAAGTGTTTTGCTTGTTTTGTTTTTGCCATACAGCTGTCACTTTTTATCATATAAGTGGATGGATTCCTATACAGAAAGAGAACCTTGATTTAAGTGATCCCAGTTGCTCCACCTTCTAATCAATAAATGATTCAGATTCTGGTCCTCTTTCTCATGCTTAGTAGCATTTTACTCCTCCTTTAGTCCTGATGACTATCTGGCCCAAAGAAAGCAGAAATCTGGCACTTTTAATTTTTAGTGAACAATAGCAGTTTTGGGGTTTTGTTTTGTTTTTTGCTTTCTCATTAAGGCAGTCACCATTTACTGATGGAAATGAGAGAGAATTTTAGATTATTCATTAGACATGTGCCTTCATTAGTACCATCTTCCAAAAATAAACAGGGGAGTGTCCAGTATGGGGAGAAACTCGGAGAACAAGAGCTCACATTATACAAAGCTATGATGATAAATATCTCCTGTGGCATAATTCTAACTCTTACCATCTGTGATTCCCTGTTGCCATAGCAACTTAAACTAAATATTAAAAATAGTCCGAAACCAGGAAAAGCACAGCAGGGAACGTCTGTCCTGAAAGAAAACAAGCCCTCAACATGACCAGCTTGTGGTTGGGAAAACGACTGATGAGTTCAGGAGCTTTGATTGTTCTTTAAATTTAATCTGAAGGGGGGATTCAGAGCAAGATCCCAACGCACCATTTAGAAGTGGTTATAGACGTGCTACCAAAATATTATCAAATGCCTTGTGCTATACTTGTCATCTAATTTCAGCTGTATACTTGAGAAGTAAACTGACTTATATGCATTAACTTGTAGGATATATATTTTACGCTTTCTATAAATGTGGTTTTGATTTGTGTAAGGCTGTGGAGAATGAGGCCATATTGTCAATAGCTGTAGCTTTTTAAGTAGTTAGTGATATTACTTTGGTAGAAGCCTGCTTAAGACCATGTTAAATTGAGCACTTTGTTCAAAGAGAGAGTTAAAATGGGAGGTGTAGGTTCAGACCAAGCTATCAGGGGAGCCATTTACTGTGGCTTCTTTCTGGGAAATCTGAGAATTGGAAAGGATGCAGCAAGGAAAAACTGATCTAGAAAGTAAGGAGTGAGAGACAGGTTGTGGAGAGGGCAAAGAGGTGTGTTTAAAATAAACGGAAATGTAGAGGAGCAAGATTTTTAAAACAGTGGGGGAGCTTTTCTCTTTTATTCGGTAATCTGTTTAGGCAAAGTTCAAGCAAAAAGATTATTCTTCACAAAAAACCCAAACAAACAACCAAACACTTGCAAGAGGAGAAGGGAGAGTGCTGCCCAGGGAACTAAAAGGTACGGGAGTAGCAGTTACTTTAAGAGACTCTTTTAGCCTATTTCCAATTAAGTTTTGCTCAGGTTCCTGAATTAGTTTCTGTTCTCATATATTCTTGAAAATTTCCCCCTTCTATTCATTTGGCAAAAATTGCAAAATGGATTAAAAAATTAAAACCATACACTGGTATAGTCAGAACTTAGATGTGGTATGATGTAAGAGTTGGGAGCCATGGATGTAATCCCTGCTACATAATTTTTTCCTAAGTAGTGCATGGCAATAGTTTATGGGCACACTGCACTGACTGTACCCATTCTCATTTGATCTTGGAAGCAAAGTGTTTCTGGGCCTGTCTAGCATTTGAATGGGAGGTGACTAGGGAATCTTGGATTCTGTGGACTGAAACCAGGGAAATGTAGTGGGACACTTGTAAGTATTAGATCAAGAGTACTGTATGAGCAGATACATTCCACACGACCCATTGTTGTGGTTGAGCTGATATGCTTGAATAACTGAATAATTATTCAATTGAATTGAATAATAATACTACTAATAATTGATAACCCTGTTTGATGGCATATCTAAAAAATATACCTTGTACTTTATTCCATGACAGTAATATGCACAATACAAGCCATAAAAGCAGTGAGTACAAATGCTGGTATTTGTGGAGTTACTTGAACTAGCTGAAATTGAGTTCTTTGGGACCCTGGTCACAGGAGTTCTACTTCCTTGTGAAGGAGCTGTTTCACAGAAGCTGCATCCTAGGAAAAAGCTGTCTGTTGTTTAGTTGTATATCCAGTTCCTCTCTAATAGTTGCAGCCATGTTTTTCTTCAGGATTTGAGGAATCTATTGCAGAATTAAAGATAGAAAATACCTCTAGTCTCATCTAGT